CTCAAGCTTGGTAATTTCAAGTTCTATGAATTGACACCTTATCACTTTGAACATTAGATCAGTATTCTCTTCAAAACAAAGTAAAAAGTTCACGTATGCGTTCTCTGTTACAACTTTACCGTAAAACTATTTCATAGATTGCAACTCTCATTTACTAAAGATGATTTGTGCTTGTACATAATAATCCATCACTCCATTGTTGTCAACCTCGCCTGGTTAACTAGTTTACTAGTTACTAGCCGGTCCTAAGCCCGGGTAAAGAGGGAAGGTTGGGCATAGGGCCAGCAACCCTACCCCCTAAAACAAATCCAACCGCTAAACAAACTTCAAAGCACAAACGATATATAAAAAATAGAAACAAAATAATTCCTCACTGGAATCGGAGAAGCGAAATGACGCCAGTTGGTGAAAGCCTGCCTTCGGGAAGCAAATTGGCCGATGTGTCTTCGCCTCTCTCGATGAAAGCGAAAGTAAATGTGGGGACATGGAATGTCCGCACCATGTTTGAACCCAGTAAGGCAGCCCAGATTGCAAAGGAGATGAGAAGGTATCACATCGAAGTGCTTGAGATTTGCGAAAGCAGATGGAATGGGAGTGGACTCTCCAAACTGTCAACTGGAGAATCAATAATCTACTCCGGTCACCCAGACGCCAACCACGAGCACACTGAGGGAGTGGCTATCATGATGTCCTCAAGAGCATTGAAGGCTCTCTTTCTCCCATGCAGTGGGAACCAATCTCCTCATGCAGGATCATGACAGCAAGATTCAACTCAAAAGGAAGAAAGGTCACAATCATACAATGTTATGCACCTACAAATAATGCAGAGTAAGAGAAAAAGGAGGATTTCTACAGACAACTGCAATCAACACTGGACAAGAGCTCACTCTAGATGGCGATATCAAAATCCTAATGGGTGGGGTGACATGAATGCCAAACTGGGAGGGGACAACACAGGAAGAGAACTAACCATGGGTCGAGAAACGCTAGGTGAAATGAATGAGAATGGAGAATTGTTTGCAGAATTCTGCTCATTCAACGATTTGGTGATTGGAGTCAGGCAGTGTGTTCAAGCACAAAGATATCCATAAAGCGACATGGATTTCACCAGACACCATATGGATACACTAAAAATCAAATCGACTTTATCTCAATGTGAAGAAAATGGAGACGCAGTCTACTTAACACAAGGTCAAGAAGAGGAGCAGATGTAGGTTCACACCACTATCTAGTGCAAGGAACCTTCCAAATCAAGTTAAAAGCCTTCAAGGAAGCTGGTGATAGACCTCAATTCAAGTACGACACTCGGAAACTGAAGGATGAAACTACAGAGGAGATCTTCAAGGCAGCCATCAAGACAAAATGGGAGATATCGAGGAACATCCCTGAAGAAATCTGTGTGGAAGAACACTGGAAGTCTTTGAAAGCTATGTGGAAAGAAACCTGCACAACAGTATTAGGAAGGAGGAAGAAAGAAGACGAGGTAGGAATGGATCTCGACGGATACCTGGAAGCTGATAGAGGAGAGGAGGATGGTGAAGCAGAAGATAAACCAGTGCAAGGATGCTCAACGACAAGAGGAACTGAGCACAATGTATAAAACACTTGATAAAGAAGTGAAGAAGAGTGCACGCAAAGACAAAAGACACTTCTACGAAACACTGGCAAGTGAAGCAGAACCGGCTGCAGGTAAGAGAGACCTGACGACATTGTATCAAATAACCAGGTTGCTATCAGGGAAGAGACCAACACAGATGAAACCAATAAAAGATGAAGAAGGAAATTTAATTACGAAAGAAGAGAAACAGAGGAAACGATGGGCCGACCACTTCAAGAAGCTCTTGAATCGACCACCGTCACCACCTGCACTTCGTCCAGAAATACCACCTGCAGCCGCTGAATTACAAGTGAACATAAATCCCCCAACGAAAATGGAAGTCCTGAACGCCATAAAGCTACTGAAATGCAGGAAAGCAGCAGGACCAGATGGGATCCCGCCAGAAGCACTGAGAACAGATGCAGAGACAACAGCGGATATGCTCACACCACACCAGTATTGCAGAAGGTGTGGAAGGAAGAGAAGGTACCTGACGATTGGAAGAAGGGTTACCTTGTCAAACTGCCGAAGAAAGGAGACCTCAGTGTTTGCAAGAACTGGCGCGGAATCACTCTCCTGTCCACCCCAAGTAAAATATTAAGCCGCATCATCCTGGAGAGGCTTAAAGATGCACTGGATTCAAAACTGCGACCGGAACAGGCAGGCTTCAGGAAGTACAAATGATGTGTGGACCAAATTGCAACGCTTCGCATCATCATAGAACAGAGCATAGAATGGCAATCAGCTCTCTGCCTCAACGTCATCGACTTTGAGAAGGCCTTTGACAGCGTCGACAGAGAAGTAATTTGGAAACTGCTTCAATACTACGGAGTGCCGCAAACCTTTATCCGCCTCATTCAACAACTATATGAAGATGCCACATGCCAAGTAATTCACAATGGGAAGCTCAGTGATGCTTTTGAAGTGAAGACAGGAGTGAAACAAGGTTGCCTACTATCCCCCATGATATTCTTGATTGTGGTGGACTGGATCATGCAGCAAACAGTGGGGAGCGAGAAGAGGGGGACATGCTGGACTGCGGAAAATAACCTAGAAGACTTGGATTTCGCCGATGACTTATGCCTAGTGTCACATAAACTTGAAGATCTGCAGGCAAAAACTAACAAGTTGACAGAAGAGGCAGCTAAGACGGGACTTCAGGTGAATATAGAGAAGGCAGAAGTGATGAAGATACCACACCACCACCATCAACAACAACAACAACAAACTCCAATCACCGTCAACGGGAGAAACTTGAAGGAAGTAACCTCCTTCACCTATCTAGGAAGCACTGTTTCAACTACAGGCGGGACGGACGAGGACGTCAAAGTCAGAATCGGAAAAGCAAGACAGGCGTTCATTAACCTGAAACCAGTGTGGAGATCTTCTGCACTCAGCATGTGGAACAAGATACGGATTTTCAACACCAACGTCAAGTCAGTGCTCTTGTATGTTTCAGAGACTTGGCGCGTCACGAAAGGCATTTCCAATAAACTACAGACATTCATCAACAACCGCCTACACTGGCTCGCTACTGAAGATCAGATGGCCAGAAAGAATAAGCAACAAGGAACTCTGGGAACGAACCAACCAAGAACCTATCACCCAACAAATATGCACCGGAAGGATGTGGAGATGGATTGGCCATACACTGAGAAGGCCAACTGAGGACATCACACGTCAGGCCCTCGAGTGGAATCCCCATGGGAAGCGACGAGTTGGACGTCCAAGGGTGACGTGGAGGAGGTCGTGCGAGGAGGAAATGAGAGGTTGTGGGCTGTCGTGGAACCAGGTTCAAAAGATCTCAGAGAACAGAGGTCACTGGAGGCGTGCTACTGAAGCCCTATGTTCCACTAGGAACCCAAGGGACTAATAATAATAAAATAGTAATTGTTGTCAGTTCACGTATACATCTTGTGACTAAAATACCACTTTTTCTTAAGTACACTGGTATACAATATGACCATAGATCTTGTGATTGTAAACATGAAGAACAAAATTAGGTTTTTAGATCATTGTGGCCTGGTTCGTGAAATCTGTAGGTTAGCATAAGTGGCTCCTGACTGCTTATGATGTCCAGCTGCTTTAACTAGATCTTCCAGCAGCCTTATGATAAAATTCTTTACTGACTACTGTATGAAAATATTGTTAGTGTGCAGTTAAATGTTTAAAGGGATAAAATGTATTCGAAGATAAATTTTATTATTACCAATGTAAATATGAAAATTCTTCTGGAGACTACTTTAAGACAATTTCATGTATTTTTGAACAGTAGTAACCAGACTGTTCAGCATCCCTTTTCGGCTCATTTTGAAAGGTACTTGAGTAGCTTGATACTTTGTCTGAAGAGCTATGAAAACCTGATATTCATCGATTAATATTTCAAGGATGCTTCCATTTCACTCCATTTTCTTGGCAATGCAACAAGTAATATTTCTTGTCATTCACTGCCACTCTTTGTTTCACTTTACCGATAGTGTTGAGAATTCTAAAATCAAGTTAAATGTAACTAGATGTCGAATCATTTAACTAGATCAGTAAACTTGACGCAATCACATTCTGCTATTGACTGTGGTTCAGTATTTAAAATCTGCGACTAGTTACTATTTATTCACCCCTTCAAGAGTTTTCTTTATTCACTGATATTGTATGTTTCAGATCATACTGGTTGAATTTCATGTAAGTTATAAACTCAAGCTCAGATATTGTTTATAAAATCTCCATTGATCATGAAGTGTTTGCATCAAAAAAAGTCAAAAAACACCCTATAAGGTATGTTTTTAAATTGTGTAATCCCGGCGTAGTTTATCAGAATAAACGACAAAATAAACAAATATTTTGCATTATTCCTCTACGTTTCAATCCCTCTAGGAAGATCATACGCAAGGTCAAAATTCGCTCTCAAACGCCTAACAGATTTTTATGGCCTTTAACAACTTCATGTCAGTCTTTGTAGCACGATTGTACAGCATGTGCAACCTTATGATAATCTTTGACATACCACAAACCAGGACAAGGTTATGAATGGACAGACTATCCAAAACTGAGTCGCCAAATTAATTCAAATATTCTAAAAGTACAACTAATCCTGTAATTAGTCCTGAACTAAGTGAACGGAAAGTGATTTGATAATAGGGCTCAGGTTACTGCTAACTAACATATATCAATCATATTTGAGTGACTTGTGGCTTTCGTAGTTTTCATGATAGTACCCGTCGTAGGTCGATGCCAGTTACAGAATTTAGGACATGTCTCAAGGCCTTCCCCCCTTGTTGGAAACTGTTGACAGTTAGTATTTGCTCCTCTCTTCTGAGACCTGCACTGACATCATTAGTTCCAGTTATTTAGAATGAGAAGTAAGACAAACTTATGTTTAAAAAATGCATGGTGTATCTGAACTTACTGAATAAAAGCTTTTTCCTCCCGATCTAAACTTCTTCTTGTTCGAATGACATACTGTTTATAAGTGGAATGAATACCAATTGTTTCACTAAATAAATTATATGCTTGTTGAGTTTGCTGATGTGCAAGAAAATTTGTTCCACCCGTTTCCTCAAATGAAAATGTATCATCTTCTTTAAGTAAATGGCATCTGATTTGTTCAACAGGTGAGTCATCATCAGTCACGTGAACCAGAGCGACTATAGCTCTTTGTGGCGTTTCAACCTCAGGTAATGAAGTACGTTCATCAGATATTCTTTTACCATTATTTAAAAATACGATTTTTGGAGGATTATCGTTAACGTTAATAATACGTATTTGTATTTCACATCGAGAACTTAATACTGGTTGACCATGATCACTTGCAATCAGGTGGAATCTTAGTAGCGTCTGATGTCTTTCAGCATCCAGTGGGCTATTAACTTGTAGCGAACCTTTATAGTGAGTTGTTGCTGGAATATTATGCTGTGAATACGAACTCTGCAATCCAGGGTGATTGTACACTTTCGAATTAAAACTCTGACTGGGTTGTAAGACAATACGGAAGAGTTGTTGAGCTTGTCCAGTGGGATCATCAATGACTAATGTCACTCGACCATTATCACCAATATCACGATCAACTAAATTGAATTCAATGATTGGTGAATTCATTGAATTTTCTGCTACTTCAGCACGATATGTGTTCTGTTCAAATGTTGGCGGATTATCATTAACATCTGAGATTTTAATAACAACACTCACAGATCCGGTTAGAGCCTTATTTTTATCTAGTGCACTGCCAACTAAATTATTTCCACCTCCATCTATGGCGATCAGTGTAAAGGAGTAGTGATCAACTACTTCTCGATCCAGTGTTTCAGTTATTGTCAAATAAGGCCTGCCTAAATGAGTATTTATATTAGTGTCACCTGAAAATTTGTCTAGTCCCCTATCTGTGTCGTCAGTAATGTCACCTGAATCTGAAACACCTATTTGAAAATGACTTTGATTTCCATGAATCCAATTAACTGTACGATATTCCGCAACGCTGAACTGTACACTGTCTGCATCAAACGCCTGTGGTAACCAAATTTTCTCCTCCATTTTAATATCTTCTCTAACCACAATGTATGGTACATGCATTGGTGGAAATCGAGGTGTGTTATCGTTTACATCCTGTACTGCTACTTGTATGTAGAATGGTGTAGGAAGTTCCGTTGGACTTGTGATTATGTTCACGTGTAGCAGTTGACAACAAGCTCCAGGTAGGCAAACTTGACTTGTGTCACTGTAAGATGTGATTTTTGTTTCAACTCGACTGAATGAATGCCTCAGTGATTCGGTCTGTAGAAGACAAATCACTTCACGATCAAGTGGTTTAGCTAACTTAATTAAAAAGTCATCCAATATAAACGGCCAAAAGGTTTCTTGTTGATTTGCAAATGCAGTTACGTTGCTGATGGATGGCATTAAAGGTGAAGATGGTGGGGACAGTCCACCATTTAAATGTCGTTCCAACACTGGTCTCAAATCAAATATCACAGTGTTTAGAGGGATATTTTCTTGTACGGTGACACGTTCAAATAGTTGAGATACACCATATTTAATCAGTACAACTGTTAGATAAAGGAATACTTGAAATATTCTAAACAGACGATAAATTTGGGGTCCAGCCATCGTTATTCACAAAATTACACTTGGAATTTGGTGATGTTGATTTGTGTTGAGTAAAAGATTCGTGGGATTAATTTGAATGTTTATGAAGTCAGTTCTGTGAACGGTGTTTTATTGTCGAATTCTGAGTTATCGCAGTGTCGGCATACTATCTGAAAGGAAAAGCATAAAGGATGTTAATCTTTATTTTCTAAGTAATAGTTAAGTATACAACTTCGTAGGTATAGTTCACTTTTAGAATGAATAGTAGGTAGTCAAAAATGCAGTGATTGCTGATATGCGTCTCAGTTACACCTCCGTAACACGGTGATCACACTATCACTTGTAATGTGTAAGGATTCATCTATACTAGAGAGTTATGAACAGTTATCATTGCTTTTGGTGTTCAAATAGCTTTTCAGTTGACTTTGGTTTAAAATGAAAAAAGTAATGAAACCAAGCAAAATCCTTTCACTTTTTTGTGCTCCTCCAGTTGAATATAAATACATGTGTTATCTTGCCTATTCTAAGGAAAAATTTCATGAAAAGGGTATGGAAACAATCATGATGTAACAATGTAGTGAAATGTTCGTTTATGTAAAATATCCATTTTCTTTTTTGCTGCTAATATTAGGAAATGCAACTCAAAAACAGTTCATGAATAAATTGTGTTCCCACAGAAGTGCTTTATTTGAGTAGCTTCCTAAGGCATGTAGAATCTCATAGCAGAGTATATTTTTCATCTAAAGTCATCAGTTCAAATCTGCAGTATAACAGGTAGACACAGGGAATGAGGAAACATATACAGATAATTAAAGCCCAATTGAGGAAGGCATCAATAAACTCTTACGGACTCGGAGATTAAAAACTGTTTGAGTATGTCATGAGAAAATTGTTTCGGTAATCAAATATTAAACCCTCACTTTTTTCATATCAAGTGTAGTCTGTGGCAGTTTTACTGACCATTTCTGTCCATCCATAAGTAGTTAGCTAGATAGTTCACAGAGTTCTTTTTTTAAGAAATGTGCGAAACAGCCTACAGTTTTTGTTAACAACCTTCTACAGTTGAAATTCCGGGATGGAACTACTAGGTGTGTAATACCACTAATGTAGGCTAGTTTCATTTTGAAAGTTGGGCAAACGGATAGAGAATACAATATTTATAGTCATCAGACGATATTAACACACCTTTATACCTCTATGAATATGAATTACGAATTAATAGGTGTAAGAACATGTGGGAAATAATCAGGGTTTAATTCATGACAACCACTGAACATCATGTTTTTAATATGTCTATGCCGAAACGTTTCCCTGTAATTTCAGTGTGTCGGTAGAACAGTTTTTCTTTAGCCTCTTCTTTTCGCTCAGATGATCATGTATACAGCTGTTTTGAATTCAGTACAACCCCATATCCTATATTTAATATTTGAAGGGTTTTATGATCATTTTCATGTTTACATCATTAGTGGCTCCTACCGGAGCAGTAATGAATGTAAGCGTTTTTCTTCATATGGCGTAAAATCCATACTTTTTTATTTCGAAAGATTAACAACTTTGAAATGTTTTAGGCAATCTGTTTCTTGTGCATTAAGCTTTCTATTATATGATGATATGACGACCAAACTATTTGTGATTATTTCACACTGTTAATGGTTCTGAAATTAGTAACTCCTAGGAGTAAAGAACGACTGAACACTGCGAATCAGTCAAGAAATTACTAGCGGGGCTGGCATGCATGAAATCAAATAACTGTTTTCTTTTGTTAGAAGATTTTTAATACGCTGCACTTATAACTATTTTCGAGCTAGATTATTTTCACTTCACGACTGTGGAGGAAAGCACAGTTTTTCTCGAACTAATGGATTACGGTTCTACTCAGTTAAACACTGTTTGTACACCGAATCAATTCGTGCTACTTCGTAGTTAATTTCATAGCATTTAGTCTGTCGCTCTTACAATGAAGTATTCAGCTTGCCTGTATTGTCAGTTGTCTTTCGTTATGTTCGTCTATCAGTAGATAAATAAAAAGTGGCTTGTTTAAGGCTAATTCACATATAGATTATTGTGGATATGACTGAGATGTACAATAAACCCAGAACATGATTTTGACGGCCGATTAACACATAGACAATAGGTACACGAATTGCTTAAAAAACCATTAAATGTAATTTTAGATATTCAAAAATGGTGTTTGAAAATAACTGTTCAGTAAATAAGCCATAATAAGTTGTTAACTCAGGCGAGCTATATGTATTGACACAACATTAACAATACTGATAAGTATCTCATATGGAATTATCAAAGTTCCCCGGGTGGACTTAACAGGGATCACTAAAACAAAGGCTAAACACACACGGATACGAGTATATATAACAAGGTTGGACAGATATTGATAAATTAGCCGATGTTATAGATGGGTTATGGTTATGGGTTATGGATGGATTTAGGCATCATATTTCCAAAGCATTCGTTGCAGTTGTAAGAAAACATACACTATATTTGCCATTATTTACCAGCAGATTTAAAGATAATGTAGATATTTTGGTCAATGAGTAGCACACCTAATCAATGTTATTAACCAGCGATCTTCGTACATAATTTAAACTCCTGGTGAATAAAGAACATGTGACCTTTAAAATTTGCAAAGGTTGCAAAGTAAAATGGAAGTATACCAGTTCCCAAAGAATTCACATAGATTTAAGTCCAAGAGGTAATACATTTATATCCCGATATGCAGTGAGAGGTAACATTTATTGTATGATTTCATGTAGCACTTCTAGCAACCCACATTAGATACAGTTGATATATCTACATAAAATACTGTTGTCTAATCTAGTTTGAGATGAGACGAAGAACTAATACATTAACTAGTCATCGAAGAGTCATCAGTTTTATGTTATCAGGTTATGAGTATGAGCAAAATTCTTTTGAATAATTTGCATTGTGGGACGAAGATAAAGTTCAGATTGCTGAGAGGAAATCATTCTTTCTGACGAATTCTGACTAGCATGAAATCTGGAGCCATGGCTTAATGTTGGCAGCTTCCAACCACACAAGATCAAAGGATCAGTATTAAAACAATATGATTTGTTTTCCCAAGTTTCAAAGCTAAGCTATTTGCACTAGTCAGCCGAGAGGGAATCTGTTTATCAAAGAAATAACTGGCCAGATATAGAGCACAATAATATAACGTATCGTTTTCTTCGTTGTTACTGGAAATCACTTTTTTTCAGTATGCGTTCCCATCGCTTAGCTCTTAGTATTAACATTTATGGGCTTTTTCTCTACTTCCACAAAATGTCTTTGATTTTTAGTTGTTCTTTATCGGTTGAGAGATCTTGTAAGTCTGTTTGTATGAAGCTAAGAACTTACGAAGTCCTCTTTAAAGTGTTTTGCATTTAACGGTATAGGATCTCCAGTTTGAAAATCTAATTAGGGATAACAGAGATTCATAACTCAGAATGGGAGTGATAACTGTTTGATGTTCTCGAACTTTAAGGGTGTTTCAGTTATTCGGCTTACTCCATACCTTTCTTCATGAATTTGAGACTACACTTTCTAAAGTCATCGATTTTATCTTCACTAGATCCCTTCAAAATAACCTACTTTGAACTTGGAATGATTTGAACCAAATTTATTCTATCAGTCTCTTCTTTCACCTACGATAATAAAACATTTTTGAAATTCAAAATGGAAATTCTTATCAACTGCTGAGCCACATTGGGGAAAGTAATAACTTTGGAATAAAGTGTTATACGAGAGCTGTCCGTATCATGTAAGATCCAGCTACACTTTCCCACAAAGTTTAAACGAATATGCATATATATATATATATATATATATAGTGGGGCTTCAAGTGAACATAGAGAAGACAGAGGTGATGATGATACCCAACCAACGCCGCCATCAACAACAACAACAAACTCCAATCACCATCAACGGGAGAAACTTAAAGGATTTAGCCTCCTTCAAATATCTAGGTAGCACTGTTTCAACTACAGGCGGTGGTACAGACGAGGACATCAAACTCAGGATCTTAAAGACAGCAAGACAAGCGTTCATTAGCCTGAAACCAGTTTGCAGATCTTCTGCACTCAACATACAGCCTAAACAACATCCGGATTTTCAACACCAACATCAGTCAAGTCAGTGCTTCCATCTGATGGTTGAGAGTCTTAGCGCATTACGAAATGGATTTCCAACAAACTACAGACACTGATCAACAACTGCCTACGCTGTCTCGTCACTTAAGCTCAGAAAAAATAAGCAACAAGGAACTCTGGCCTGGCAACGAACCAACCAGGAACCCATCGCTCAACAAATATGCAGAAGGAAGTGTAGATGGATTGTGCGTGTAATGAGAAGACCAATTGGGGACATCACGCGTCAGGCCAGTCACTCGAGTGGAACCCATATGGGAAACGGCGAGTTGGGCTTCCCAGCTGAGGGTGACACAGAGATGGTGTGAAGAAGAAATGAGAGCTTGTGGGCAGTCGTGGAGTCAGGTTCAAAAGATTGCAGTGAACAGAGTGGAACGGAGACGTGCTACTGATGTTCCACTAGGAACACAAGGGATAAATAATAATGATATATATCGTAATCACTATCCAAATGGCATTTTAAGTTGTATACAGTAATTCTTTCTGAATGACCACTTCTGTATTACATTGTTCAAAATGCTGGTGCTTCAGATTACTCACAGAGTTTAAAATATTCAGTAATTAAGAGTTTCAGCTTCACTGTCCTAGTATCTGATATCAAAAGCCCAACAGTCATATGAAATACAAGTTTTCTTTCTACATTACAATAAAATTTTGACAAGAAAGCTGAAGTCTTACTGCAAGCTAGGAAGAAATCAGCACTACATATTTAATGTGATTAAACAGTTTGCTAAACATAAATTTGTACATGTAAGGAATTAATCTATCTCTCCAGACTCAACTCTACTGAGAAACCTGTAAGAACTAGGAATAAGTAACTACTGGTTTCATTTCTGCAATATCTCCATGGCTTCTGTCACGGACCTCATGTGATGTGGAATTCAACATGTTAAGCTTTCACGACGAGTTGCTTGACGGTGTTTATAACTGAAATTGCTAACTTCATTCGTTTCAGTTATGTACAGTAGCTATCATTGAAGATAATATCGTCATGAACTTTATTGGGGCCG